GACTTTTAGCTACTTGTTTTTAAATAGTGATGAATAATTGGTGTTCCCAGTCAGCTTGTTTGCCCATGGCATTCTCTGGATCCATATGGTGCTTTGCTGTTGCTCCTTGTTATTTGCCCATTCTGGAGGCAGCTCCTCACTGTGCTTTGTCACTGGGGACACGGTGCTGCCACAGCTCTGTGGGGACACTTCATGTGCACGTGGCTGTTGAGGGGTGCCGTGGGGGTGGGGGGATGCTCTTTGGGCTGCTGGTTCCAGGCTGGATTGCTCTGCTCCCAGTTTAGTGCTGTGGAGGAGGTCAGGCTCACTTGAGTCCCAACAGCAAGTGCTGCTGGCTCTGCAGGAGGGTGTGAGACATAGATCTTACCCTTGAGGATGTTTCCATCATGGCTTGGTTATAAGTGCTGGGTGAGGGGATTTACAGCTGTTGCCTGGTTCTGTTTGCTGGTTGCAAACTGTGACAAGAGCCATGACCCGTCTTTCTGCTTTATTTCTATCCATATCATCCTCATTCAGCTAGATGGGATTGATGTCATCCCTCATCCCATTCCTGCAAGTTCCAGGCTGAGTTGGACAGGGCTTAGAGCAGCCTGGTCTTGTGGAAGATGTCCCTGTCCACTGCAGGGGAGTGAAACCTTTAAGATCCCTTCCCCACCCAAACCATTCCATGATTCTATACTGGCCAAATACTTAATTTGATGTCATTGTAGAAGAAATAACTGGTTTGTCTTGTGCAGAACCAAACTTTGAGGGGGCAGGGCACTCTGGATTTGTGTGGGAGCACAGCAGCCTGTGCTGCTGTCTCGGTGTTGGTCAGGTGGGGATCCCTCAGGTAGCTTGGCTCACATGGCAGTTTTATCTCCTGGAGCTGTTTGCAGGTATGGAGGGTGCTTATGGGCTCAGCTGCCTGGGTCCTTACCTGAGTGAGGTGTCTGTTACCCCTTTCTGGTGTACCCTGGTCCAGCTTCCATTGCTGGAGCACACACTGGTGTGGTTCTGCTTTGCTGTCCCAGGCAAGGACAGGGGGTCACTGTCCAGCCCTGCATCTCTCACTTGGCGCTGGAGCTCCCTCAGCTCTGCTGGAGTGGGACAGCAGGGGCTGTGCTGACCTTTAGGAGCAGAGGTAGGTGTGGGTTCCTGCTCCAGGACATCATCCGGGGCTGTGCTTACCCGTGGAAAACCCTTGCAGCCCTTGGTCTCTCTGCTGTCAGGTTGCTCCAGGAGCTGGATGGCTGTCCTTTGCCTGCAGAGGTGACTGGCATCACCTTCCTCTTCCCGCAGCTCCCCTGCCTGTCTTTTTTCCAGGAAATGTGCATTCAGCTCTGACTTGGCTTGCTCCAATTACAGGTTTAAGTTGGTGCTTGTGTGGCCTGTCATCCTCTGTACCCATAGTGAGTCACGGGGAAGGAGCTGATCCTTCTTGTCAGGAGTATTGTGAGGAGCCTGCTGTGCTTTTCCATGCAGCGTCCCTCGTATCCTGCCTCATTTTCCCCTGAAAAGGAGTTTCCAATCAGTGCAGTGTGCTCTTAACTCACCTCTGAACGATGATGACATTCGTTGTCTGTAGGTTGAGTTATGCTGCAGCAGGTCAGACTGCTGAGGTTCTCTGTATTTCATGCTTGTGTATCAATTGTTGTAGCTGGGTAACAGCCTGGTAATTTTAGGTGCCTGAAGTGTTATCAGTGATATCAGAGCCCTCTGCTCCCTGTAGGTCTGTTCAGCTGATGGCCAGCAGCTCAGGTTGTCTCCCTGAAATGTGAGTTGTCCCAGCCTGCTGTCGGGAGGGCAGGCAGCATCCTAAATAAGCTAGTGCTTCCAAACCTGAGCTAACTGGAGGTGTTAAATATCCCTTCAGGTCCTCATTATACTGTTCAATTATTGTAGCAGTTCCTACAGCACCGTGGCAGGGATCTTGCTACACTTTGCATCAGCCTTTGTTTGGTTTCGATCAAAAAGCTTGTTTAATAATTAATGACATAATATTCCCGTGTCTGCTGGCTGCGGGCTGGGCAGGCAGAGCTGAAGCTGGAGGAAAACAAAGCTGGATGTGTGTGTGTGTGCTGGGGCAGTGGCTGCTGACTCACAGCCGTGTGTGCACAGCCTTGGGCTGCGAACGGATCAACGCTGGAATTAAACATGCAGATGGGAAGCGTGGGACTGCGTGTCAGTGGAGCTCTGCCATGAAAGCAGAACAAATGGGAGCAAATCTCCTCTTTGGTCCCCTTCCAGGCACTTGGGATTCGCTTCTCCCTCTGCAAGCCAGGGCTCCTGGCAGGGCTGTTTTGTACCTGGCCTCAGGTGATGCTGCTCCTCGCTCTGAGCATCACTGTGGGGTTGGAGCTGCTCACAGGTCACATTGTGACTGGGGCAATGATAGAGCTGCTGCTGTGTCAGCACTGTTGACTGTGGCCAGACCCGTTGTCACTTCTGTTTTCCCTGCCCTTCCTTTCACACCAAGCTGTGTTAGTATCTGCTTTCTTGCTTTTTTTTTTTTTTTTTTTTTTTTTTTTTTTTTTTTTTAATTTTTATTTTTATCTAACTCTTCAAGGCTATTTCTGCTTTGAATCACGACTGGATAGATGTATGTCCCTGCAGTGACTCGGGGGGAGGTGCTTCATTCCCTAAAAATAGTCTTAATTCTCCAAATCTTTCTGGATGAGGGCACTGTCTGGGCACGCGTGGCTGTTTAAAGCATCTTCTGCGATGCATATGGGGGTAAATATGGTGAAGTGGGAGTCAGTGCCTTTCTCTTTTCCTTCTTTAACACAAAGCAGTTATTCTTAATCTGTTATTAATAGCTAGAGCAGGTTTCTTCTAGGAACTTTATAAGAAACAGAGCAGGAAAATGTTGTCCTTGGGGCTTGCTGGTTGTGTATTGCTGTTGTGAGTAAGTTCTTCTCACTTCAGGCTGGTTGGTTGGCACAG